TGACTGTGCGAAGGGAGTCAGGGAGGCGCGTGACAAGGTGGTACAGTGTGAGGTACATCAGGGGAGGGTTCTTGGCGAGGAAATCTAGGGGGAGTACGGCACGGTAGCGGAGGTCACTGGTACGGAGGTGGGTGATGAGGTCAGCTACAGTGGTAAAGGCGGACAAGTCGGGGAAGAGGTAGGGCAGCGAGAGACGGCCTATAGCAGCAGTGGCAGGGGAGGAGTAGCGCGCGACTAGTGCGTCGTACAGCTCCTTAGCGGTCTTATGCTGGCCGAAGTGTTCGCGCTCATCTACCGGCAGGTGGCTGCGGACGGCTAGGCGGGCGTGAGCATCACGAGTCTGCCACTGGGAGCGAGTAGTACTGTTAGCAGTAGCGGGAGGTGCGGGAGCAGCGCCTGACGTGTGGTCGTACAGGGAGACATCGTCCTTGGTAGTGATCTGGAGGAACAGGTGGAGGTCATCAAGCCAGACATCGAAATTAATCGGGCGGCCCTCAGCGTCAAAGGTGAGAACAGTGGGACTGGCCATAGTGGCAGTAGCAAGAGTAGCAGTAGCAGTAGCAGTAGAAACAGTAGGAGCAGTAGGAGCAAGAAGAGCAGTTGCAGCAGGTAGGGCGGCGCGGCTCGGTCAGGGTGGCGCGGCTCGGTCAGGGCGGTGCGACTCGGGCGGCGTGACGGCGGGCGACGCGGGTCAGGCAAGTAAGGCGGCGCGACGGCGGGCCTAGGCTGGGTGCGCGGCGGCGCCTACGGTGCAGCTGCGCGCGGGCCGCGGCTGTGTTCTAGTGGCGGATGTGGGTCGCGCGCTGCAGCAGCCGACTCGCGATCGTCGCGGCGCGCTGACTGCGACCTGAGGGCGGGCGGCTGTGGGTCGCGCGTCGGCCTAGGGGCTAGCACGGGCCTACGGGCGGCGGCTTGCTGGGGCGCGTGAGAAAAATCGGGCCGCCCTAGGCGGCGGTTTTCTTACGTGCGCTAAAACGGCGGGGCCGCGCTCGGGCTGCTAGCGGGCTACAGATGGGCAGCGTGAGAGGAGAGCGCACGAGGGCGCACTAGGGGAAAGGCGCACGAGGGCGCTAAAAAAAGGGCGCAGGAGGGCACCTCTAGCGGAACGGTGGGCCCTTAGGTCTAGAACCTAAGCTCTTAATACCATGTCAGAAACAAGAAGTGATTGAACTACACAACATTGCAGTACAAGTATGAAACCCTAAAGTTGTGTACCCCCTAAAGGCTAACCCACTATAGCCTACACAACATTAACACATATATAGTGTTTGACACCACCAGTTCGACGAACGTGGGGGGTGCCGATCGCTCCGTGCCAAATGATCAGTTCGGCACTTAGCGTCGTGTTTCGGGTTAACCACGCGTCAACGCGTCGTATCGTTCGGCTGCATGTACCATGTCGCGGTAGCTACTGTAGTTCGCGGTGGTGACCTGTCGGCGAATCTCCATTTTCAACCCCTCGGTGTACGCTTGGATTTTTTGCCTTTTTTCAGGTCGGTGATGCGATTGAATAATTGCTCCATCTGCTGCTTGTACATTGCTACACTCCCGAGTTGTTTGTGTCAATGAATCTGCTGCTGCGCCATATACACCGAATTTATATGCTCAAATCTCTCGATAAGATGTGCCCGAAGCTGCGCCCACGTTTTCTCCCCGCTGGCTACGTCACTATAGCAGATCTACTCTTATGACGGGCCTTGCAACAGTGTCGCAGCAAGCCGAATCCGTGCCGCATTGTGTGTCGGGGTCGAACAGCCAATGGCCTATAAGTAAATTTTGAGGGTCGCCACGAATCGTCGAACGTCCGATCCCTTTGTGCTTGGATCGAACACTTCGGGGAGCCTCGGACGAGCTGCTGCGAGGTTTGTGAAATGTCGGTGTTGCCGCTCCTGCGAAATTGTCGCCTTGCCCCTCCATCCCTAACATTGCGCGTCCAAAAACCGAAAACAAGGGGGAGTGAAAAACACGGAACTTGTTACAGTCGTCGCCCCCACGGTTTTTTGAAGACTCGGTTTTAGTGGTCGAAACACTCCGCGTGTAAACGGCTCTGATTACCAAGTGTGAGGATATAGGATCGAGCTCAGAAAGGAGCGTTTGAATCAAATGTTCTACTTGGGTACAACACGAGGCTATATATAGTCTCGACACAAGGCAGGTAACCCAGGTGTTCGGCGAATATTCTGAGGGTCGCGAAGCGTCCCGAACAGAACCTTCTCGAACTCGGTAACAAGCAATTTAGTGGCAGCAGAAAGGCTTGAGTTCGGTACACGTAACCTGTTTCGGTGCTATAACTATAATAAAATATAGGAATGCAACTAACATAGGAAATCAAGCATAACTATGCATGATAAATACAACCTAACCTGGTAATGGCATAATAAAGTCCAGGCAAGTTAGCAAAGCCAGCATAAGTCGTCGTACTCTCACAGCTACCAGACAACAAGAAAGAATTCGTCTTGAAGTTTTATTTCGACGGGTCAAAATCGACTCCCTACGCAAAACGATACCTTCTGAGGACATTGATGTAGCTTTTCCTGGGCGCTTTTTACACGCCACATCATCGATATATCGCCACCGACTACAACTTCGATTGTGCAGATGCTAAAATTCAGACAGGGCCCATAACACTTGGTATTCCGTCCTACCCTCGGCGTACAATTTGGTTGTGGATTTGTGCCCGCGCAGCTGTGCACATTTTGATGGGTAGCAGTTTTCAACAAAGGGGGGAGAGAGTGCTTTCGCATTGTATTCACTTGACAGTCTTGTGAAGTTTAGAACGAGAATGTATGCATTGAGCAGGATGAGGAGTACAAGTAGTAAACCCTAAAGTGTTGTACCCCATATGAACTGCCCACTACAGCCTACACAAACTATAGCATATATGCCTTACACACCCCCATAGGCAAAGTGGGGGAGAACAAGGGGTCACAAGACCAGTCAAGCAAAGCAAAGCAAGCTCAGGGTGGATCACAACGTCACCACACAGTCCGAGCACAAGAGCAAGGCCACAAGGCCAGTTCACATGCAAGATCATATATATAGAGGTAAACAAGCAAGTGCAGGTATAGAAAGAGTACAGTACAAACAAGATCAAGAAGCGAGCAAGTGAGGCCAAGTAGGCACAAGACCTAGCACAGTACAGAAGCGCTGATGATCACAAGGCGGAAGGGCCTTGGTGAAGATATCAGCAGTGTTGGCCTCAGAGGCCACGTAGGTGAGGCGGAGCTGACCACGCTGCTGCAGCTCACAAGCCAGGAAGTAGCGGAGAGCAATGTGCTTCGTTCTGTGCTCCAGTCAGTGCTCCCGACACAAGGCCAGCATGGCCTTGTTGTCTACGTACAGAACTGGAGGAGAACGAGGCGGCTCTCCTAGGTCAGTCAGCAGGTAGGTGAGCCAGCGTAGCTCCTGTGCAGCCATGGACCCTGCGTAGATCTCAGCCTCACACCTGGAGCTGAGAACAGAGGACGAGAGGGTAGACCGCCACGAAACAGAGCCGGAGCCAAGGCTGAAGGTGTAACCCTGTGACGACCGCTGCAGAGCCTGGTCGTCAGCCCAAGAAGCGTCTGCGTGACCTGTGAGGACCACTCGACGTCGCCCTCCAAGCACTAGCCCCATGCCCAACGTACTGCACATGTAGCGCAACACCCTCTTCGTTGCAGCCATGTGCTCTGGTCGGTGTCTCCCAGGAGCAACATAGCGTGCCAAGATGCTAAGAGGGTATGCAAGGTCAGGTTGTATGCAGGTCATCAGGTACATGAGGCAGCCAACAAGCTCTGGGTACGGGCCACTCGGCTCTACAGACTCATCCGAAGGCAGAGCTGAGAGCGAGTGGCGAGTAGACAGAGGAGTGGCCTGAGGCGAGGAGTACGTGACGTCGAAGTGCTGAAGGACCTGCTGTACCATGTGCGACTGAGTAAGGGTAATGGTGCGCTGTGCTCTGTCCCGGGTGATCTGCAAGCCAAGGTAGCTGCGCAATTCACCCAGGTCTGTGCACGTGTGTCTCTTCTGCAGCTCGGACTTCACGTGGGCGAGTCCAGCAGTGTCAGCAGTGGCAAAGACCAAGTCGTCGACGTACACGAGGATGTAGAACGGCGGCAAAGAGGTGTCGGTGCGGAGAAACAGCGACGGGTCAGCTGTAGAAGGAGCAAACCCAAGAGCCGCAAGTGTTGTACTCAGTGTGTAGTGCCACTCACGGGGCGCCTAGCGGAGACCGTAGACTGGCCGCCGGAGGCTCCACTGGGTACCAGGAGGAAACGACCCAGTGAAGCCAGGTGGGCGGCGCAGCCAGATCTCCTCGTGCAGGCTGCCCTGCAGGAAAGCCGTGCCGAAGTTAAGAGAGTGAAGCTCGTAGTTGCGCTGAGCGGCTATGTGCAGCAGCACCCGAAGAGTGGTCATCTTCGGGGTGGGAGAGAAGGTCTGAAAGTAGTCAACTCCCGGCCGCTGACTGAAGCCTCGAGCCACGTAACGCGCCTTGAAGACAGGCGGAGAACCCGGCGGCCGCTTCACCCTGAAGATCCACATGCCACTGACGATGTTCGCCCCAGGTGGGGGAACCTCGTCAACGTAGGTGCCTATGGACTTCCAGGAAGCCATCTCTACGTCCATGGCCGACTGCCACTGAGAGGAGTAGGGACCCTCGATCGCCTTAGCGTATGATCGAGGAGTCGGGATGTCTGGTGCATCCGGGTCTCCCTCAGGGGCAATCAGCGTGGACACGTGATGGGGCCAAGCAGCAGCAAAGCACTAGAACTCCTCCTGCCTGTCCTCAAGGACGTCCGTGCTAAGAGCACACTCACCCCCGACAGACGGAGGAGAGACAGACCCAAACTCAGCAACGAGACTAGCAGTGTAGTCTAAACGACAGCGAGCAGCGAAGTCAACAAGCTCAGCAGCTAGTGCAGACGCAGCAGTGGACTCAAAGGAAGGGTCAGTGACAACAGTAGCAGGGAGACGCGTGACCGAAGGACTAGCAGCACGAAGATAGTCAGACTCCGGGTCAGCTAGAGTAGGAAGAGAGGACTCTGGAGGAGACGGCAACGGGATACGCAGAGGAGCAGTGGAAGGACACAGCGCCATCTGGTGTGTGCGGGGGACTGCAGGAGGACGCGGACGCGGAGTACGACCACCAGTGCGAGCAGCACGAACAGGCGACGCAGGACGAGACGCAAGCTCACGACGCTCAGCAAGACCTCGAGTAGGACCAGTGTAGGGAGAAGGAGCAGGTAGAGGGGAGGCGGGCTGTAACTGTGACTGTGACCGGACAGGCTTTGGACACTCTAAGGGAGGAGGAGGACCAGTAAAGGGCGGGAGACCAAGAACCTGCTCCAAGAGCGGAACGAAGTACGGCCTCGGCCGCGCAGCGCCTCCAGAACCAGCAAGCACAGCACCAGTACCCCCAACGGCAGCACCAGCGCTAGCAGCACATCCAGCTCCAACAGCGCCAACTCCAGCACCCATAGAAGCACCAGCGCGAGCAGCACCGCCGGCGCCAACACCTCCAGCAGCTCCAGCTCCAACAGCTCCAGCTCCAGCAGCACCAGCTCCAGTAGGACTGTCATCTCCACCAGCCTCAGCCGCACCCCCAGACGCACTAGCGCCAGTAGAAACACCAGCGCTAGCACCCCCAGTAGCTCCAGGTCCAGTTGCACCAGCACCGCCAGCAGCTCCAGCAGGACCAACACCAGTAGCCCCAGCAGCACCCCCAGTCCCAGCAGCTCAAGGACCGCCAGTACGAGCACCTTCGGGACCAGCAGTAGCAGTAGTACCTCCAGCTCCAGTAGCACGTCTCCAGCGGCGGGCAAACCACTCGCGCAGCTCCTGTGGAGAGAGTGGCTCCTGCCTCGACGAGGCACCGCCGGCGGCCACACGAGCAGACCCAACGCCCCCAGGCTCCGCACCCCCAGACCCAGCACCCCCAGGCTCAGCACCCCCAGACTCAGCACCCCCGGTCTCAGCACCCCCAGACTCAGCACCTCCAGACCCGGCACCCGCAGGCTCAGCACCTCTAGCAGCACCAGAGTCTACAGCTACCTTAACAGGCTCGATTGCGTCTACCCAGGACACACGTGACGGGGCAGGACCCTGAGGGGGGAGGGGGTCTACCGAGGGAGGACCTGGTGCGAGGAAGAGTGGCGGCGGGGGGAGGGGCGCAGTGCGGTAGGGGAAGAGACGGTAGTAAGGCACCGACTCGTCAAAGGTGACGTCCTGGGAGGACAGAACACGGCGCGAGGTGGGGTGGTAAAACTGCCACCTAGGCGCGTCAGGGGGGAAGCCAAGGAAGACGCAGGGAACAGCACGGGGGGACAGCTTGTCCGCAGACAAGTCGCGGACAAAAGCCCAAGATCCCCAGACCCGAAACGCAGACGCATCGCCAACCTTCCCAGTCCACCGCAAGGCGGGGGAGGTCTTTGACAAGGAGACCCGGGGCTGAAGGTTGATCTGATGCGCCGGGTACTGAACCGCAAACGGCCACAGAAAATGGGGGGCAGCCGCATGCATTATGGACGTACGAGCGACGTCCATGACCATGCCAATGCGGCGCTCAGCAATCCCATTTTGCTGTGGAGAGGCCGGAAGCGTGAAGGTCTAGCGGATGCCCTGTGCACGACAGAAGGCTCCCAGACGGGCAGAGGAAAACTCCCCGCCTCTGTCAGAGTGCAGACACAAAACAGGAAAGTCCGAGCAGAAACTCTCTCTGAGCTGGAGACGAGCTGCGCGGATCCAGTCGATCAACACCTCAGTGACGTCACCCTTGCTGCGCAAGGGGAAGACTGTGGTGTAACGCGAATAGTCGTCAACGACCAGCAGGATGTACCGCTCGTGCCCCTGCCCACTGACGCGGGCTGGGTCCCACACATCGATGTGGAGAGTCTGCAGCGGAGCCTCTGTCGGAGGAAACTCGGAGGAGTGAGGGGCGGCGCGCTGTCGCCTCTCGACGCAAAGGACGCAGGTAGGGCCAGGCCCCGCAGGTAGGGGAGGGAGAGACCGAGGGAGACCAGAGACAAGGACACGGGAGGCCATGCCTCGGAGACGATGCAGGGAGGGGTGACCAAGGCGGTTGTGCCAAAGAAGAGTCTGGTTGGACAGTAGACGACACGAGCAGGGAGCAGACTCAGGACCAGACCTGGACGCTGCAGCAAACACCTGACTCGACGTCGCTACCTGGGCAAACTCAGCAGCCGGAGGAGACTCAGTAGTAAGGGTGTACAGGCTCGACCCTGGTCGACGGGTAAACGTAGCCAAGTGTCGGCCTGTCCGAGAAAACGTGCAGTGGGTCACCCGCTGACTCGCAGGAGTGAACTGGTAATCCCCGCATCCTGAAGGTCAGCACCACTCACCAAGTTCGTAGAGAACGAGGGGAGGTAGAGACCTGACAGGGTGCCAGAGGGGGCTGCCGAGCACGGTAAGACAGTGGATAAGCTAGCAAGGACAGGACCCCCAGAGGGGTCCGCCAGGGAGACTGCAACCGGCCGACTGAGCGGCGTAAGAGTGGTGCGGTCTCAAAAGAAGGAGCGGGACGAACCTGAGTCAAGGGTGAAGGTGTGTAAGGCCTGAGCCGACGTAGTACCTGAGAGAGCAGACTCACCAGCACCTGGGGTAGCAGACGCACTAGTACCTTGGGCAGCAGAAGCACTAGCACCTAGAGCAGCAGCCTCACCAGCACCTAGAGCAGCGGCCTCAATGCCCGGGTCAGGCGGTACACACAGGTAACAGTCACCCGCAACACTATTATCAACAGCATACATGGCAGCAAGAATAGCATCAAAATCAAGATCAAAGATAGCAACCCCCGCCCTAGTTAGCTCTCCCCAGCGAGGGATCTTAGAGGCCTCAAGGAACTGGTGACGCCACGCGTCCGTCAAGCGGCCAAAGCAGCGCTAGGTGGAGTGCGGGCCCTCGAACTGCTCACCAGCGCGGTCGCCGGTGAGGAGAACGTAGGTGCAGGGACCCGTACCCCCACCGCGCTGACGCGCAGCGTACCACTCACGAAGCTGCTGAGGGGACAGGGTCTCACGACTACTCTGCTGCTGCTGGCGCGTACCACCACCGGAGCCACTCCTCTCCGCAGAGCCGCGACCAGATCCACTGCCGCCTCCGCCGCCTCCGCCACCTCCGTCGCCTCCGTCGCCTCCACCACCACCGCCGCCTCCGCTCCCTCCGCCACCGCCGCCGCCTCCTCCGCCTCCACTGCTGCCACCGACACCTCCTTCCCCGCAACCACTCCCACCACCACCCCCACCCCCTCCACTGCCTCCACCACCACCTCCATCGCCCCTGCCAGCCCCTCCAACGCCCTTGCCCCCCTTGCCTTTGCCGGTGCGGCGTCTCCCGCTCGGGGCAGACGCAGCGCCGACCGACTCAAAACCAACGAGGTCGGCCGCAGCAGCAGAGGCAACAGAGGGCAAGAGGGGGGAGGGGGAACACCCCTCAAAGACGGGGTGCGAGGGTCACCACGAGAGGCTCCTACAACGACTATGCTCTTCTCGTCTGCTAGGAGGGCCTTCTCGAGGAGGTCAACGGTGAGAGTGGTGGGGCAAACAGAGAGGAAGTGGTCCTTGACTACGCGGAGAGAGTCAGGGAGTCGGGTGACTATGTAGTAGAGGGTGATGTACATGGGGGGGGGGGGGGGGGGGTTCTTGGGGCAAAACTCAGCAGGAAGCGCAGCGCGGTAGCGAGTGTCACTAGTGCGGAGGTGCGTAATGAGGTCAGCGACTGTGGGAAAGGCAGCAAGGTCAGGGAAGAGGTATGGTAGCATGAGGCGGCTCAGTGCAGCAGTGGGAGGGGAAGAGCAGCGTGCAACTACAGCGTCGTACAAGGTTTGAGCACTCTTGTACTGGCTAAAGTATGCACGCTCAGTGGTCGGTAAGTAGCGGGGCACAGCAAGGCTAGCAACAGCATTGCGTGTGGCCCTCTGTGAGCGAACAGTGGCGTCAGCATTCGCAGCAGGGGGAGGAGAGGCACCAGAAGTGAGGTCAAACAAGGAGAGACCGTCTGCCCTATCGCACTGTAGGAAAAGCTGCAGATCATCTACCCAGACCTCAAAGTCAACTGCTCGACCCTCAGCGTCAAAGGTGAGAACACTAGGGGTGGCCATGACAACAATAAGCAGGCAGTGAGTACAGTGGGGCAAGGCAGAGCAGTGGCTGAGGCGCTGCTCTTACTAGGGAAGTGAGGCGGTCCCGGGCAGGTCGACAGGCGGTGGCGCCTCGGCTGCAGTGCGGTTCGGCGGCTCGGCGGCTCGGTGGCTCGGCAGCAAAGGCGGCTCGGCGGCTCAGCGGCTCGGTAGGTCGGCGGCTAAGGCGGCTCGGCAGCAAAGGGGGCTCGGCGGGGCCGTGAAGGGTGGCGTCGCTGCCGCTAAGAAGCGGCGACGGGGCCGTTGAAGGGCGGCGACGGGGCCGCTAAAAGGGCGGCGACGGGGCCGCGGAAGGGCGGCGACGGGGCCGCTGAAAGGGCGGCGACGGGGCCGCGGAAGGGCGGCGACGGGGCTGCTGTAAGGGCGGCGACGGGGCCGCGGAAGGGGGGGGGGGCGGCGACGGGGCCGCTGAAAGGGCGGCGACGGGGCCGCGGAAGGGCTGCGACGGGGCCGCTGAAGGGCGGCGACGGGGCCGCTGAAGGGCGGCGACGGGGCCGGAGTAAGGGGCGGCGACGGGGCCGCGGAAAGGGCGGCGACTGGGCCGCGGAAGGGCGGCGACGGGGCCGCGGAAGGGCGGTGACGGGGCCGCTGAAGGGCGGCGACAGGAATGAACCGTCTGTGTACTATCATAGAGAATGCATTGAGCAGAATGAGGAGTACAAGTAGTAAACCCTAAAGTGTTGTACCCCATATGAACTGCCCCACTACAGCCTACAGAGACTATAGCATATATGCCTGACAAGTCTCTGACATTTCTGTCACACTCGAGCAGCACGATGAACGTATGCAATCAATTTTATCGACATCGACGGTATCTGCTCACCGTCCTCCGAGATCGTGTCAGACTTCCCGCCAAAATCGCGTTCAACCTGACCGTCCAACTTACATCCGCGACATCAACGACTTTTATTCATCCGCGAACTTCAGTTCAACGTTCGACGACCACCATCCGATCAAGATCAACGGCTGACCTTCCAACACACTTTAAATTCACCTAGTCAACTCGAAAGTAAACGTGATTCTGCATCGTCATATCAGTTTCAACCGAGATTTGCAGTTTTCACGCTACTACAAGACTCGCCTACGTAAAAGGGGGTCGTATTTAGAAGGTTGGAGAGTGTAATGAATATGAATTTATTACCATAGAGGCTGCTCCTAGCGAACCACATTCGCGTCAGTTTGGGTTCGGCCTACACTTCGGCCCAAACCACATTCCGAGTCGCCCCGCACCAATCGCGACATTTCCGAGCCACGCAGTGTCAAACTTATATGCTATAGTCTGTGTGGGGTAGACAATATGGGGTACAACACTTTTAGGTTTTCCTACTTGTACCCACCTGCTTGCTAGTTCATTCATTCCTCATTTCTTCACATGGTATAGAGCAAGTTCCCTAGTGGGAACGCTTCCTAGGGGCCACCACTGAAAATCGACAATATTTTTTTTCTAACCAGAGCGCGAGTCGCCCCTGCCCGAGGTGGACCCCGTGGGCCGCCCTCTCGTCGCGTTTCCTGCCCTTAGCGGCCCGTGGCGCCCTTCTAGAGGCCCCTCTCATGGCCCCTCGAGCCGCCATTAGCGGCCCCGTCGCCACCCCTAGCGGCCCCCTCGCCGCCCTTAGCGGCCCTGTCGCCACACGAAGCAGCCCCGTCGCCACCCTTCGCGACGATGTCGCCGCCTCTAGCGGCCCCGTCGCCGCCCTTCGCGACCCCGTCGCCGCCTGTTACGGCCCCGTTGCCGCCCTTCAAGTCCCCTCGCGGCCCCTTCTCGGCCCCGTCGCCGCCCCTAGCGGCCCCGTCGCCGCCCTTCATGGCCCCGTCGCCGCCCCTATCAGCCCCGTCACCGCCCTTCGCGGCCCCGTCGCCGCCTCTAGCGGCCCCGTCGCTGCCCTTCGCAGCCCCGTCGCCGCCCCTAGCGGCCCTGTCGCCGCCCTTTGCGGCCCCGTCACCGCCCCTAGCGGCCTCGTCGCCGCCCTCCTCGGCCCCTCCTTGGCTCCTCTGCCACGAGCAGCAGCCGCCGCCAGCAGCAGCCGACAACAGCGGCGGCCTCCACCAGCAGCAGCCTTCGCCGCCGACAGTAGCGACTGCCGCCACCACTGCCAGCAGGAGCTGCCGCCGCGGTCGCGGCTCTGTCCCTGCCGACACGCCTCGGCCCTGCCCCACCGCTTGCCGGCCCCTACCTACCAGCCCTGGTGAGAGCACTGCTGAGCCTCGCTTGCTACTGCTGCCCCTAGCCTACTGCCACTACTGTCATGGCTACCCCTAGTGTTCTAGTCTTTGATGCTGAGGGTCGGGTTGTTGACTTTGAGGTCTGGGTCGATGATCTACAGCTCTTCCTACAGTGCGATAGGAAGGACGGTCTCTCCCAGTTCGATCTCACGTCTGGCGCCGCTACTCCTTCCCTGCCACTGCTGCCCTTAGCCGCCTCATGCTGCCGTATCTGTTTCCTGACCTCACCGCCTTTCCCACTATCGCTGACCTCGTTACGCACCTTCGCACTAGTGACACCCGCTACCGCACTACGCTTCCTGCTGAGTTCTGCGCCAAGAACCCCCCCCCCCCCCCCCCCATGTACATCACCCTCTACTACATAGTCACCCGGCTCCCTGACTCCCTTCGCTCGGTCAGGGACCACTTCCTCTCTGTTTGCCCCACCACACTCACCGTTGACCTCCTCTCTTTTGTGCCTACGTCCTGCGTACCGGCGACCGTACGGGTGAGCAGTGCGGGGGCTCGCACCCCACCCAGCGCTGTTTCGGCCGCCTGACAGATGCCTGGCGTCTCCAGTTCCCTGACGCCACTGAGATCCCTCGTTGGGGAGAGCTGCAGAGGTCGGGGGTTGCTATCTTTGATCTTGATTATGATGCTATTCTTGCTGCCATGTATGCTGTGTCTATAAGTGATGAGGATGACTGTTACCTGTGTGTTTCTCCTGACCCCGGCCTTTAGACTGCTGCTGTAGGTGCTGGTGAGGCTGCTGCTCTAGGTGCTAGTGTATCTGCTGCCCCAAGTGCTGGTGAGTCTGCTCTCTTAGGTACCACGTCGGCTCAGGCCTCACACACCTTCACCCTGTCAGAATATTATTCTTATGTTCTAGCCTGTAGTGGGGTGCTCTGTAGCGAGTACAACCCTTCTAGGGTTTTGCTATTTGTATCCTCATTCCTGCTAGTTCAATCCTCTCTTCCCTCTTTCTTTCTTCTAACTTTTGTCATGCTATCAGAGCAGGTCGATCCCCTTGGATCAATCCTTTGGGTGGGTTACCACCTCCCTTCCGCTGCTACCTTTCTCCTCCCGCCGTGCGCCCCGAGGCGCGCGGCGGTTTTCTGCCCGCCGTGCGCCCCGAGGCGCGCGGCGGTTTTCTGCCCGCCGTGCGCCCCGAGGCGCGCGGCGGTTCATTGCCCGCTGTGCGCCCCGAGGCGCGCGGCGGGCTTCTCCCCTACGTCGCGGCCCCGCCCCGATCGTCGCGGCCCCGCCCCTCGACGCGGCCCCGCTCTACGTCGCGGCCCCGCCCTGGCCTGTCGCCGCCCGTGCGCCTGCCCGGCTCGGCCCCGCCCTTCGTCGCGGCCCCGCCCCGGCCCGTCGCCGCCCGTGCGCCTGCCCGGCTCGGCCCCGCCCTTCGTCGCGGCCCCGCCCCGGCCCGTCGCCGCCCGTGCGCCTGCCCGGCTCGGCCCCGCCCTACCTTCGCGGCCCCGCCCTACGTCGCGGCCCCGCCCTATGTCGCGGCCCCGCCCCGACCGTCGCGGCCCCGCCCCTCGTCGCGGCCCCGGCCCCGTCCCCCCCCCCCCCCCCCCTTTCTCCCCTCCCCCCCATTTCCCGTCGTCCGTCGAGGCGACCTAAGGGGGCCGCTTGCGGTGTGGGGTGGCGGGTGTGGGGGTGCTCGGTGTGCCTTCTGTGAGAATAAGCGAACAGGAAAATGAATGAACTAGCAGTGAAATGAGTACAAGTAGGAAACCCTAGAATTGTGTACCCCCTATAGGCTAACCCACTGTAGCCTACACAAGCATAACATATATAATGTTTGACACACCCCCATAGGCAAAGTGGGGGAGAACAAGGGGTCACAAGACCAGTCAAGCAAAGCAAAGCAAGCTCAGGGTGGATCACAAAGTCACCACACAGTCCGAGCACAAGAGCAGGGCCAGAGGCCAGTTCACATGCAGGAGTACAGACATATATATAAAACTAGACAAGCAAGAGCAGGTATATATATATGTCACAGTACAAGTGAAGTCAAGAGGAGAGCAAGTGAGGCAAGACAGGCACAAGACCCAGCTGGGTGCAAAAGCGCTGATGGTCACAAGGTGCGAGTGCCTTGGTGAACACATCAGCAGTGTTGGCCTCAGAGGCCACGTACGCAAGTCGCAACTGACCACGCTGCTGCAGCTCACGAGCAAGGAAGTAGCGGAGAGCAATGTGCTTCGTTCTGTGCTCCAAGCGCTGCTCTCGACACAAGGCCAGCATGGCCTTGTTGTCTACGTACAGCACTGGAGGAGAACGAGGCGGCTCTCCAAGGTCAGTCAGCAGGTAGGTGAGCCAGCGAAGCTCCTGTGCAGCCATGGCCCCGGCGTAGATCTCAGCCTCACAACTGGAGCCGAGAACCGAAGACGAGCGAGTAGACCGCCACGAGACAGAGCCGGAACCAAGGCTGAAGGTGTAACCCTGTGACGACCGCTGCGTAGCCTGGTCGTCAGCCCAAGAAGCGTCCGCGTGGCCGGTAAGGACCACTGGACTCCGCCCTCCAAGCACAAGCCCCATGCCCGACGTACTGCACAGGTAGCGCAATACCCTCTTCGCTGCAGCCATGTGCTCTGGTCTGTGTCTCCCAGGAGCAACATAGCGTGCAAGAATGCTCAGAGGATATGCAAGGTCAGGTCGTGTGCAGGTCATCAGGTACATGAGGCAGCCAACAAGCTCTGCATACGGACCACTCGACTCTACGGACTCATCCGAAGGCAGAGCTGAGAGTG